AGCCAGTCACCCAATGCCATATCCCTCCCCCATATTCCATATCATCCCACATTACATCCCTGCACCCACCCACCTCACCATTACACAAAATTAAAAGTTATAGTACCTCGGCTCATCAAACACATGATACCGGTGCCCCCTAACTCCCTCTCCTCTAAACATCCTCGGGAACCTCCACCCCTCTGGCACCTCATGCTCCTCCACCCGTCTATCCCTTACATCCTCCGGCACACCCCAAGCAAACTTGCTGTCCTCCTCCGAGTTGGGAACCACAAACTTGGCCACCTGCAACTCGGTATCGGTGATGGTGCTCCTGCTCACACGGGCATAACCCGTCCTCCGGAGACCCTTGAACAAGATGTACTCGCACCAGCGGTCCCAGTCCGTCTTGTCCACGTCGTGCATGCCGCTCACGTCGGAGACATACGTGTTGTAATTGCCCTTGAGGGGCTCCGTGACGAGGTAAGACAACAAAACGCTGGGGCGGTTGGTGCTGCCCATGAGCTTGGAGAGATATTCTGACTGGAGACGACGGTCCTCGGGGTCCTCTTCCTGGCCAGAGTGGAAGACAAAGACGTCGACGAGGGTTCCGTAGACGTCAAGAGTGGCGTGAATGGCAGGAGCCAGCTCGCCGACCGGGCTGGGAAGGAGGTGATGGGTTGAGTTGACGATGGGGAACTTGGACAACAGAGCCGCGCCCCAGGTGTGCTTGTTGGGACCCGGACCATAGTCGACGTACATTCCAAGGTCTTCAGCAAGGAACTGAGTGGTGTCACGGTTGCCCATGATGACGCGCTGCAGATCAGACTCCAACAAACCAATCACATCAACCTCCATCTCCTTGATAAGATCGCGCATGCGATACTCGGAAGACCACATGTCGTTGTCGAGAGAGAAGTGAATCGTCCAGATGCCAGCCGTGAAAAGGCGGTCCTTGGCGTGGTAAGGCTTGTAGTCGTTGGTAGGGAAGCGCAGGAAGTTGGCGGAGAGGAACAAGAGGTTGAGAACACCAAGAACGCCAAAATGATACTTCCTGTGGTGAGTGTTGACAGGACGGATGACACCAACCTTTTTCTTGCTGCTGCTGTTGTTTTTGGCCTGGTGGGAAATGAGATCAAAGAGCCCAATGCCGAGTGCCAGCATCATGGTGATCATGATCCAGTCAGTATGCTCCCGAACCAGCGGGCCACCAGGCACAAAGGCATAGGCGACAACCCAGACGTGGAAGAGAACCAAGAAATTGTAAATGAGGAAGCCGAGACCAAAAGTGGCCGCAGGGCTCTTCTTGGCAGCGTTGCCAATCATGGGAACAGCGATGGCCATGAGGTAGGCAGCCAAAGTCAAGCCACCGTAGTAACCACGCCATTGCTCATAGAGAGTAAGGTAGGCAGCACCAATGCAGCCCAGACCGTATGCAGTCCAGCTCGTGGCAAAACCAGGTCGGAGGACGCCGATGAGAATACCAGCAGTCATGGCAGCGATTGTGTACCAGCCATGGACATTGGAAACAGGTCCTCGGATCGGATAACCATCCCAAACCCAGAGGATCATGGTGCTGGTGTCAGAGAGAAGGGAATGCAGACCGAAGAACAGACCGCCAATTCCGATAGCAGACAGAACAGACGATCCACTCTTCTTCCCGGTCGTGTTGCCACCCTGGTGAGGGCCACGGCGAGTGAACCTCAGGGCGGCAAGAATAGCAAGGAAGAGACCAGTGGCGTTCCAGCCACCGTTCTCAGCATGCATGATGGGCCAGATGGGATTGTTTGTGTACCAAGCAAACTTGGCAACAGACGACATGAGCAGACCAATGGTCCACGCAAGGATGCGAGCCTCAAGTCTGGTGGGCTGCACAGAGTCCGAATACCAGGTAGCAGCCCAGCTGAGACAACCCATGGAGACGCCAAAGCCAACAGTAAAGAGCCGGTAAACAGGGTCCTTGACCAGATAGGCGAGAAGGCCAGCGAGTGACAGAAGGTGAGTAATGCGCTGGTTGCTAACGATGAAAGAGCGCAACGGCCTGATGGCAAGCAGGAAAGGCGAAATAGTGGTCATGACGAGGGCCTCATAGCCGGAGATGCCCATGTGCCACAAGGGAAAGTCTATCGACGTGTCAGCTACATGGTTAGTACCAAAATCTTCCAAAAGTACTTACACCAGATGACCACACCCAAGCTGGTCAAGATGGACCAGAACACAAACTGTCATTGGTTAGATGGGCACTCATAAGCGCATTGTGGACACCACTTACGCCATGGTAAACATCAGCCGCAATGTCGAGGAACTCGCCAAAGCGGAATCCGGCAGAATAGACACCACCAGTGGCCTGTTCCTTCCTAGGCGCATTGTTAGCTTACGGTGGGGGCTGACCGGTACATAAGACAGGCTTACTCCTTTTCAAGCACAGCAGTGGGCACAGAAGAGTGGTTGACTCTGCTAACTGTTTTAGAACCAGCCTTTTGACATAACATTTGGTCTTGGATATTGTACAAGCCCATTGCACAAATGGGTTGAGGCTATCTTGGGAGCCATTGGACGTACCCCTTGCTCGCGCCCTTCACATCCCGGATTGTGATCTCGAGCGAGTCAAAGTCCAGAGCAGTCACGGCGTCAAAGGACACATCGAGGACAATCAAGGCCCATTCGAAGAAAGCGTAGATGGTGTACGCTACACGTGTTAGTGTCAGACATTTCCGTTCCGATTGGACATGACCTACCTCCCGCAACACGGTGAACCTTGTGTTGGATGAAAAAGTACACCAACGGCACCAGAGTACCGAAGAAAGCGCCCGCAATGTATTTCCTGTACTTGATCGCTTTTGTATTCGGGGGACTGAGCGCAATGCAGCCGGTTGTCCACGGAATCGTAAAGACAATGTACGAGATCATAAGAATATCGTGCCAGTCATGGTCGTCGGTAGACGTGATGTAAGTCCACCCGCCGCATGTGAGAGTTCGGATGATGCCGGACCATCCGATCAGCTTCGGTAGCGTTCGGCCGGGCTTCGCGGTCAACAGATACCATAACCCGACGAGAGCAAATCGAGGACCTGATGGTGGTAGGCTCGGTGTCAGTGCCGAGCCGGACTGACCAGCCAAGGGAGAGAGACCGTGGGCACATACCGGAGGTAATGGCAATGAACAGCATGAAGATGGACCGTTCAGGATAACGGTCACCAATAGTGGCCGACACAGAAGGGAACCATTCTTGCGGATAGCCGTACCACTCGTTCTGGACAATCTTGTGGTAGTGAAGAGCAGACCCAATGACGAGGGCGCTCAAGAAAGCCACTGGGATCCGGAGGAGCCGGGAATGGTCAGCAAAAACAAATGCTCCGTCCGATAAGGTGAATCAGGTTACACACAGGAGGCAGCGACAGTGTGCGACCAGCTCACCCACTGGCCATTAAAAGAGAGGACGACGCCTGCGTCCTTGTCCTTGTAGGAGCGGGACGACGACGACACCATTGTGGCCGTGTCCGTGTCGACGCGGCGCGGGGTTCCGGACGAGGGTTCAAGCTCAGGCCAGGCCAAGGGCAGGGCAAGGGCAGAGGATCCGATAAGACGTGTGTTTGGTTGGGAGATTGGGATCAAGCGCTGGGATACATCGCCGTGGGGAGTAGCAGTCAGTGTCTGCAGAAAAGAACAGATGGAGGAGAAGCGAAGAAAAGTCACAGCTTGGTCTTGGCCCAACAGTTGCTGTGCATCGAGAGACGAAGGGAAGGATCGAATTGGACGGGATGGCGAGACAACACCAAGAGCGCCAGAAACCTCGGCGCGATCCGCATTCAGAGAAATCCACAGGCGCCAAGCCGTTGACCCGACTGCATGGCCCCTGCAGCCTCGGTGAGCCTCGGTGAGCCACAGGCAGAGCCCAGGTGAACAGGGCCCCACTAAAAAGTTCAACACCAGCCCACGGCAACAAGCTTCCACCATTCCATTTCTCAGAACATCTCCAAGCTTTGCGTAATCCACCCAGCACTGCAACTGCACCGTCGTTTCCTTATCGCAACCAACCCAGCGCATTTCAGACCTGTTTTATAATCCATAACCATGGGTGGCGCCGCAGAAAAGGCCCGCTTCTACCTCGAGCGAGCAGCTCCCGAGCTCCGCGAGTTTGAAGAAAAAGAGATCTTCACCAAGGTACATCCCCCCGTCGCCTCTAGCTCTGTCGCTCTCTTTTCAATGCGCTGACCTCCCAAACTCCAGGAGGAAATCCGCTCCCTCGTCGTCAAACGCTCCGACTACGAGCACCTCATCCTCTCCCCTGGTACCAAACCAACCGACTTCCTCTCCTACATCTCCTGGGAAACCTCCCTCGACCGCCTCCGCGCCAAACGCTGCGCCCGCCTCAAAATCCGCAACTCCTCCTCCCACGCCTCCCAGGCACGCACCTTCAACATTTTCGAGCGCGCCGTCAACAAGCACCCGGGCTCCCTGCAGCTCTGGTTCGCCTACCTCGACTTCGCCGCCAGCGTCAAGGCCACAAAACGATGGAACCGCATCGCTACCCGTGCCATCCGCCTTCACCCGTCCGAGTCATCTCTTTGGGCTCTGGCTGGCCGTAGAGCCGCTAAGGCGGGGGATATGGAAAAAGCCCGGGCGCATTACTTGAGAGGGTGCCGGTTTTGCACCACGGAGCCAGACCTTTGGGTGGAGTACGCCAGGTGTGAGATGGAGTGGCTGCAGAAGATTGAGGCGAAGAAGGCTGGGAAGGGGGTTAGAAAGGGGGTTAATCCTGTCGAGGCGATCAAGGACACGGAAACGCTGCAAGAGGGGGATGTTATCGAATTTGACGAGGAGGATAGCGAGGATGAGGACATGGACGGCGAGTTGATGCTTCCTGATCCGGATGCCGAGGGTGCGGATGGGAAGCCAAAGAAGAAGAAGGTCATGACAGAGGAGGAGACCAGGAAGATTGAGCAGAGCCCTGCGCTGAGTGGAGCGATACCAATGGCCATCTTCGACATAGCACGGAAGCAACAGTTCTTCGGGGCGAGGGCGGCCGAGATGTTTTTCGACATGTTTGCGCAGTTTGGCGGGGTGTCATCGCAGGAGAGGATTGTGGGGCATGTGCTGGGTGCGATGCAGGAGCTGTATCCTGGCCATGCTTGCACTGTCAGCTGCTGGATTAGACAGCCGGTTGTGGGTGTGAACGCGTTGAGTGTGGAGTTCCCCAAGGCGCTCAGGGAAGTGCTGGCGAGGCTGAAGAAGGGTCTGGAAGAGACAAACGACAAGAAGGCATTGGTAGAAAAGATGGTGAGCTGGTTCGACGGGGTTTTGGCCGTCGACGGATTGGACGAGGGGATTAAGATGGTGTTGCAGCACACAAAGGGGTCGTTGGAACAGCAGGTTGCGAATTGATACCCAGATAACATGATTAATGGAATTACAACTAGAGGTCGATGTCTTTACCGGAGTAAGGGTCATAATTTTCGCGCTCAAACTGTTCTGCCTCGTACCCCGCAAGCAACTTTCGGTCGATGACTATGTCAGGGTCTGGAAGCTGGGGGTCATTATCGTCAGCATGATTCCACCCGTAATCATTACAGTAATCTGGTTCCGCCTCCCACAGCACGACTGACTATCCGCCAACAGCCATATCCGATGGTGTGAACCGAGGGGTGGCACATCCGCCGAATCATGGGTCCGAAGATCGACTGGTGTTTCACCATGCAAGAGAAGCTACGGCCTCACCTTCTCTCGGCAACCGCCATAAGAAACTTCCACTCGGAAGCCGAGACCTTGCTGACGCTCAGCCTCGACTGCTTGATCATTTGCATCTTGTCCAACGGCCCCCCGGGCGCGCCCAGTTCTTTGAGTTCTTTCAGCGTAATCGGCTTGTTGAACTTTTCGTGGAATTTGACGTGAACAACGCTCCATTTGGGGTCGGAGGGCTTGGACTTTGGGTCGTAGTATGGCGCTTTGGGGTCGTGAGCAGACACTATCCAACACGTTAGTAAAGAGACCCTCGATAGAACACATTTGCCGTGAGCAACCTACGATCAGGCGAGTGCTCCTTTACAATCTCCATCGTCCCCACGATCCCGGGCTCCTTGCAGTTGGAGTGGTAAAAGAAGGCCAAGTCACCCTTCTTCATGGCTCGAAGGTTGTTGCGGGCGGCGTAATTGCGGATACCTGGTGAGATGTTAGAAGGAGAATAAGTGGGAGACAACGGGAAGAGACCAGCATACCATCCCACGGCTCCGGCTCTGTCTTGGCCGCCAGGTCGTCAATCGAAAATTTGACATCAACACCGTTCTCATACCGAGACTCGGGCTCGGCTTTGAGAAGCCAATAGTTCTTTTCTTCGGACTCATCCGGGGCAGGAGAGGGTGAAGCTTCTTCAACCTCCTCCCTTTTGACGGCCTTTTTGGTTGCTTTTTTGGCTGGTGGTGAGGACTTATTAACCACAGGCTCTGTTTCCTGTTTTGAGGTCCTTGATTTCTTGGTGGATGGCTCGTCCTGAGCAGGATGTGAGCACGTTTGTGGTCCACTGATGATCAGATAATCTCAAGCCGAGAAGGAAACCACGTACCTCTTCAGTTTTGATATCTGCCTTTGAGGCCTTCTCATTCTTCACAGCTTTGGGCTCAGTCTCATCCTCCGTCCTTTGCAGACGCATTGAACGCCGGCGCGGCTCAGGAGCTGCCACGGCTGGCTTTTCGGCATGGGTAGACTTTCTCTTCGGCATTTTGGATGCTGCTGACGCAAACCGGACGGCTGAAAAACCTGAAATATTCACTTTGGTTGTATGTGATGAAGGGGGACGGTCAGATCTGATTGCAAATTTACATGGTCGTTGAGAGAGACTAGGCCCCTGCCAAGCCAAGGATAGCCACCAGGGAGCGCACGCGACACGCGACGTTGCCCAGCCCTTTGGAACCATGGACTTTTGCTCCACGAACTTACCGATCTCTTAGTTTATGCTTGATTTATATTCTGAAAGTCATTTGGTATTGAGAACTCATAACCAAATGACATGGCCACTCAATATTCTAGGTAATGGTGGGTGCGAATTGATCTGGCTGGTTTTGATGATGAAGGGTTGCCCTCCACAGAGCGGGTCTTGACGCCCGGATGGGACTCCCGAAGAGGATCCCCGACACCATCGGCCCGGGCCGAATTCAATCCCCGGGCATTGGGAGTCCGCGATATCTTGAGGAAGAGGAGAATTTTCTCCGGCAAGGTACATGCCTCAAATACTTTTATGAAATACCTGACATTTTCCTCGCTGGAAATGATCGTGTTCCCAATGACAACAGGTACCCGCCGCTGCCCATGCCCAAGGCAAAGTGACAATGATATTGTGAATCTGGGGTTGTTCTGCAGTGGGTAATCACGTCCCCTGGGCCACAAGTCCACAGAGCAAGCAAGGCAGGCAATCACGTCCTCTGAGGGGTTCCAGGAACGAAGTGCCGACGTGGGATCTGACGTGTCGTCAAAGAGGCGGATGTCACCAATGGAATGCATTCCCCCACGGATGGGAACAGCTGGTAAAGCGAGCCCATCGTTGCTTTTCGCTAGGTGCCCCCGGGCACTCCGGTTATTTGGACAGAATCAACAGTCGTCGAGATGAAATATCAGGATGGTCGATATACTGTTTGTATCATCACCACGACTTTGTTTCATCCAAGTTCTTCCGCTTGGGTCGACTTTTTCCCTGTTTCCCTGATGAGCACAAATCATTGCTTGAGCATTAGTTCACAAGCCCTGCGATATTGACTTGGTGAGTTGGTGAGTTGGTGACTTGACAGGTGTGGCTGCCCGAAGGCTTGGTTGTGGCCCTTGACGGCAGATAAGAATGAGCACCTCGCGGACAAAGCAGATCTTCCAGATTCGATATTCGACGAGTGCCTTGCGTGCGTAGAGAGCCCTGGTCTTCCTACATCGCCGCGCTGTGGTTGTTTGGATGGCACGATGGCTGGACACAGCGGCCGGAGAGCAGGGGTCCGTGGAGGATTGACTTAACAAGCGGCCGGGGTTGATTGATCACCATTGCTGCCGAGCACACCAGGCCCTACCATTACCATACAACAGTGATTTCGGGCCACAAATCTTTGATGGAAATCAAGGACAAATAGAAGTGGTGAATAAGGCCACGAAACATAGCAGGTCGGCCAGTGGGTATAAATGTGGTGGTAAGCGTGCCATGACCCAAGAAGCACCTCAACCAAACCGGATGTGGGGGAGGGGGCGAGGAGGGGGGAAAAGCCACGGGGGACTACGAAGAGCCAAAAAAAAGAGCACTTTGACGAGTCAACAACATATGTAGTGTACCACCTCGCTGGAAAGAGAAACAATACAAGGCACGGGAGCGCAATCTTTGTGACTGTGGACATGCAATCAAGACGCAGTAAGGAAAAAGTTCGGAGTGGATGGGGACAGGCTGCCCGGATCTACCGTCAAGGAGAAGAGGGGAGGGGGAACTTGGAATGGGAAAGGGGGGGTCAGGTAGGTAGGTGGTGACGACCAAGAATCACATCAACGCTATGGACACCCACGCCCGGCCACAATCTGTGTCTTGCTCTTGTGCCTCGTGGGAAACACAAAAAAAAGACGGAAGAACGGAGGACGAGGACGGGGACGAGGACTGGGACAGAGGTACCAAAAGCATTTGAGTTTGGCTGGGCTGGGGTGGTGGAGGTGTTCGATGCCCTGTCAAATGGTCTGCTGGTCGGAGAATTTTTAGTGCCTGGCTGTAAAAGTGACTTTGGTGCTGAAGGTCAACCGACAATAAAATGGCCAACTGCCCACCTCCCCCCTTCGTTTCCTTTCCTGCTTCATTTCCTGTCTCATTTTTGCCCTTTTTTTCTTCCCCTTCCCACCGTCTGGATTGTTTTACAGCGTTGTTGCTGATTCTGCTGCCATATGAACAAGGCGTTGCTATCATTCTTCAAGTCCCTTTGCCCCAGAACGGACCCAGCGCTGTTAGTGCAAACGGCCAGTGGGAGCAGCACAAGAATAACAAGATGACAACGACAACATTTCCAGCGACACGTGGGGGATTTGGGAAACTGAGGGAGAGGGAATGAGAAACAATTTCATCATCACCAGATTCTCGACTACGACCAGCACTGGATGGATTGACGAGGATGGGCTCATTAGGGGTGGGAGGACCACCCAGGGCGGGCAGGCCAGGATCACCTCCACGACCCCAATCCACTTCGCTCAAAGCCGGGGCCCTGGGAAACGGCCTGAATGAGACGGGACTGGCCATCAACATGCGACAATCTCCTCTGCTGGCAGTTCGACAACTGCAAGAGAGAAAGGGAATGAGCATGGCTGTTGTCATTTTCAGGCTGGAATGTGCGACAAAAACAGGCACCAGACGACTGCTGGGCCAAGTCCAAGTCATGCGGTGATTATCGGCGGGGCAGCAATGCGGGAGGTGCGGCGGTCTGTCGGCGGTCAAGCGAGTCGCCAAATCTAGGCGCCGGTACATCTTGGGCGTCGGCAATGAGGACTCTTTCAATTCTGGCGACACTCTTCATACGGATTTCTCCTCACTTGTGTGACTTTTTTTCCGTCACCGAGTGCTGCTCTTTGAGTTTGACTGTGGAGCGATTGGCTGCTGGTCGGGTCAAAGCCCATCCACCCATTATCAGCATCTCTGTCCCATCATTATCAAGACTTCAACGCCACCCATCCACCACTCTGTCACCGGGTCGGCTACCCCTGAGTATAAAGGGACATGGCTGCCCATCGGAAAACATGCCCATTCATTTCTACTTCATCTTCCTCGAGCTCGCTCCCGCAACAACCATGGCACGAGCATCGTGAGACCCTTCCCAGGATGTCAAGATCACCATGAGCACACAGCAAGAACACCCTCACCTCCTATTCTGGCTTTCGAAAAGTGTGACGCTTTGTTGGATATCGGACGGCCAGAATTTCCCTGGTTTCTGAAGCCAAGGATTATCACTTTCGATGCATAAGGCGTCTCTGTTCATGACCTTGTCAGAACCGCTGACAGGGCTGTGGGGTGCCATTGGAAAACGCTGGCCATGTTGGTGAACGGCCAGAGCGTCAGAGGCTCAGACAGAGCCTTTGGTGGAAACACACGGTGCACGGGCCACTGTTTTGGATGTCGCGCCTTATCTGTGGCTCTGATTGGTCATAGAGAGCGGGAGGGACCCGCAAGACTAGGCCGTTTCAGGAGGGCCCCAAGGTTTGTCCGGCTGAAAAGCAACCAGCGTTCCTTTTCGCGGCGTGCGCTCTGTCACAGCACAGCACCACTGGACAGTGGACATCCGACAAGCACGCGCGACCTGGGTACTGAGGTAAGACCTGCCCTTTTGTTTCCCTCATCCACCCTATCCACCCCCGGCCTGCCGATTCGTTTCCGAACCTTATAGCAGAAGCCCGACGAGTGCCTTTTCCACGCCTCGAGCTGCAGGTCTGGCAAAAGCCGGGACTTCGTGGTGGTGACTGTGGAAGTCTCGAGGTTTGGGTGACCACCCGAGAGGCGCTGACGGCGAAAAATTCTCGCGGCTCCAGCATCAACCTCCGGACTCCTAGTTTCGAGTACGTCAAACCTTGGCCGTATGGCCTCCACTTTCTCATTCCTTCCCCGTGTCCCGGTGTCCGCCTGGCGGTTGCTGCTCGGGCAGGTGGTCCTGCTTGGAGCCGGCGGTTGTTTGGCTTTCCGGAGCCCGGTTGCTGGCTCCCGGCGGTGCTCCCGAATCGGCATCCATCCATCGCATTTGCGACAGCGGCAGCTCAGGCCGTCGCAAGAAGTTTGCGACTCCGGGCAGGCTCTGTCCTGGGGTTTTTTTTTTCTGCTGCTGCCACCCTCTGCTGTTCCCTCTGTGGCCCTGTTGCTGCTCGCTTGGGTGGACCCAGCACCACTTCCCCCCGGGCTGCCGCACCACACGCAAGCAGCAGAGCCCTGCACCCAGCGCCAGCCAGAATCCGGTGTCCCTGCCCCGTTTTAACCCACTGCACACACACACTCCTCTGCCATACCCGACCACCCACCGCGACGCGACTGATACTTGCTCCATCGCGACAAGTCTCTGCCGTGCGACTCTGCATCTTTATTCCATCGTTTCCCTTTGACTGGCACGTGCTTTTATCGAATTACGTCGTCGCTAACCGCCGGTCGCAAAGGGTTTTCATTGAAGCTGATGGGTGCGACTCTCCCGTCCTCGTTGCCGTAACCACCTTCCCCCCGAGCCCCCATCACACATCGCGACCGCCATGAGTTGGATAAACGACGGCGCTGTTCCCTCTCACAATGGCAACGGCTTTGCGATCGCCGACCCGGCTGCTGTTGCCGGCGTCATGATGGACCCTTCGGCCTTTATGGGAAATCCCGCCCAATTCAACCCGCAGTTCGCGAACCCCCAGCAACTCGCCATGCAGAATACCCCGATGCGCAATGCCTCGCCGTCCTTTCCGAACGCGATGTATCAGACCAACTCAGTCATCCCATCGAAACGGGCTCGTCCCAGAGAAGATAGCATCGGACAGTCACCGCGACAGGCACCCGGCATGCTGCCAACCTCACGCGCCGAGACACCCCAGCAGTCGCCGTTCCCGGGCTATCAACCACCAGGCATGGCGCAACAACAAGGTGGCCAGCCGTCCCCATACCCTCATCTTCAGCAAAACGGCTCGGCCAATGCTACTCCGTCTCCCATAATGAGCAACCAGATGCGGCCAGGCAGTGTGCCACAGAGGGTGTCGACCGCATCTCCCCATCCATTCTCGCCTGCCGCGCAACAATTCCCACAGACGTCGCCGGTTCCATCTGAGCACGGAGGAAACCCACAGGCTTTTATGCAACAGAATGCTTTTCCACAAGGCTTTAATCCTCAATTCACGGCCCAATCTCCTGCGAGGCCGTCGCCGTCGCCCAATCCCATGGGAAACCCCATGATGGCTCAGCACATGACCCAGATGCAAGGTCAGCTTCCCCAGCAAATACAACAGATGCCTCAGCAAATGCAAAATCCAATGGCGGGTCAGATGCAAAACATGATGCTGCAGCAACAGATGGGCCAAGGGCGCGGCGCAATGGATCCCCAAAAACAGCAGCAACTTCTGTATCAAATGCAGATGCAGCAGCAGCGGTCACTACAACAGCAAATCAATGCTCAGAACATGATGCAAATTGCTCCAAACGCAAACTTGACACCGGCTCAAATCCAAGCCCAAGCTCACGTCCAGGCTCAAGTTCAGCACCAAGCTCAGCAGAGGAATATGATGGCCGGCAGACCAGGTGTTCCGAACGGACAAATGCCACCAGGAGGAATGAGGCCCCAACAAGGCATACCGGCACAACAGTTTTTGAGGCAGGTTCCTCCAGCCCAGTTTCTAAATCAACTCCGCGCCTTTTTTGCCTCGAGCGGTCAGGTGATGGACCAAACGCTTCCCACCATTGGGAACCAGCCTATCGATCTACAAGCTTTGTTCCACGCAGTCATGAAATTTGGAGGATACCGCGCCGTCACACAATCAAATGGTTGGGTCCAGGTATCCATGGCCCTGAATATACACCCGCAGCAAGTACCGGCGGCACCCTCCCACTTCAAAGCAATCTACGAGCGGTGGCTGTTCAAGTATGAGGAAATGGTCAAGATGCGCATGCAGCAGGGAGGGATGCAGAAGGCTCCGCAGATGGCCCCAGGAACGCCTACTAAGATTATGCCTCCTGGCCAGATGCCGGGGCAGATGATGCAGCCCGGTCAGCCATCACCACTCCAGCAAGGTCCGATGCCGTCGCCAGCCAAGCCTCCGGGTGGACAGCAAGCCGGCATGAACGGTTTCCCGGTTCACGGTCAACAGCCCATGATGCCCAGCCAGACCCACCAACAGCGCCACAGCTTGTCCAGAAGCATACAGGCCACGCCCACGAATGAGGACTTTTCTATGCAGTCTCCTGCCCAAGGAAAACCTGGCAGCATGTCTGTCCCCGGCTCGGCGCAGGCAGAAAATCAGGGAATGGCTGAGGAATTGGCGGGCACCGCCAAGTTTGCCGCCCCCTTTGCCACGAATCCCGAGGAGTACATGCCGTCTTCTCGGGAACACATATCATATGGAGGAGTTGACGGTAGCCTGATGAAGGTTGGCGAGCAGCTCCAAAACGCCAGGATCGACCTGCCAGCTGCCTATGAACTCGGGAATGTCGATCTCCATGCCATCACCAAGAGTCTCCAAAGCGGCATTCATGGCGAAGTTCGGCTTGCCCTCGATGTCCTTGCAAGGATTACGGCCAGTGACTTCCACTCTTTCGCGCCGACCAACACTATCCCGATCCCTCAAATTGAACTCAAGTTCTGCCCCGAGCTGGTAGAGGCGCTGGTGGACTGCGCAGAAGAGCAGATCGAGCTACTCGCCGAAAGTTCGGAGGAGGCGTCCAACGAGATTGTTATTTCGCCCTATGAGGATATTGTCCGGGCTTGTCGCATCGATAGGCTTGCCGTCAAGAGCATCCCGGTCCATGGTTCCTCGGAGTATGACCTTGAGCGTGCGGCTGACAGGCTCATATGCATCACAACTATCTTCCGCAACATGTCCTGGCGCGATGATAACCATCCGGCTCTCGCCGATGAAGCCGTCATCAAGTTGTTGTGCGTGGTCATTAGATACATGGGAACACGCGAAATGCTGCTTCGGAGCAACACAAACACATTGGATATCATGAAGGATCTGGTCACACTACTCAGCAACATTGCTGGTGCGATTGAAATACCAGGGCGAGAACAGGCCTTTTGCTTGTTGCAATTTCTGCTCGCCTTTGCACCCAATCCACCCCCGACGATGGTGAACGGCAAGCTGTACTTTTCAGTCTACGACCCTCGGTCGCACCCCTATCTCCCACACGCCGTTGATTCGCTGACCAAACTACTCGCGCGGGACGAACCGAATCGGACACACTACACGGCCATCTTCACGAATGAGTCTATGCTCAACACGTCTCCGCCCTGCGAACTGCTCACCAGAGCCTTTGCGCTTGCTATCGCCCCTATTCCCGACTGCACCAAGGAACCTCGCCACCCGTTGCCCCCGCTCGTCGAGGTTCGGAAACCCATCATCATGCAAGGTCTCCTCGCTGCCGACATTATGGCAGGGCTGGCGCCGGAGTTTGACAGCGGAGTGGCGCGATCATGGCTGGCCTCGGGCAATGGGTTTGCGCAGAACTTGTATGCGCTCGTCCGGCAAATCAGCAGTCTGTACGAAAGCCAGGTTATGAAGCCAGGGCGTGGCCCGCCAAAGCGAGATGCCGAGCTCGTCTACATCTCGTCGGTCGGCATCAACTTGATCAGGAGGTTGTGCGAGAAGGCTAGGGACCCCCACCGCCCAGCAGGTGAGAGCGGTATTCCGCCCGAGATCCTGCCGGCGAGGGAAAGTGTCTTGCAGGCTCTGCAGATGCATGCCAGGGAATGGACCGTGGAAGGGATGTTGACTGACTTGGTCGCGTATGCCCGCCTGGTCCGCTGAAGCATCCTCATTGGGTAGTTTTCTGTATATGTTGTTGTAACCTATCAACCCTTTCTTGAAAAGTATGTTGTTCATGGCGGTACTCTTTTTTTGGCGTTAGTTTAGCGAGCGAGCGTGGTTTTGGGCGCTTGGGTCATGGTTGAGTGGCTCATCTGGATAGAAAGAGAGATCTTGTTTTGCGTCTATATGTGAGGGGGGTCTTGGACAGCGACTTTTCGACAGGGGCAGCCAACGATTGGTATGATATGTGTTGTATGGATCTTTATTTCGGTGTGATTTGGAAAAAAAGGATAGGTGTGGTAGGACTGGTTAAGGGGCGGTTTACATAGGTAGTCACAGTATTGAAACTGTGAGGCGTATTGAACATTTTGTCGCTTTGTTTGCATGTCGTACTACTATCGTCCCGTCGATCGATGTTCGGCAGTGTGTTGCAGCAAAATTCGGTCACTGACCGATCTTGAGGTTCAATGGACCCTAGATTGTATCATACAACTACCGTCGTCCTCCAGCGTGGGGGTATATCATTTTCCATCTCCAGAACTGCATCTTGGCCTCCTGATATCATACACGGCCTCCCGTCTCCCGGCATTCACCCATTACAACCCCCTCTCCTCCAGGAAAGCAACAATCTCTGACCTATGGTGCCCCTATTTCCCTCAGCATCAGCGTTCCCATACTCGTCTTCTTGTCGGATGCAAACTCACCCGAACTTCCACATGCCCCGTCAAACTGTTGACTTTGATGTCGTTTGGCGACAGATTCAGCGCCTTGGCAAGCTCCTGCTTGAAGGCTATCCTGTTCCCCTCGATCTTTTTGATGATTGTGAGCTTGAAATTGCCGCCGCGCTTGGCGTCCTGGTAGACGGAGTAGTTGTTTGTGCGGGAGCGGCCGAGGGCGAAGGGGAAGTATGTCTTTTGGCTTTGTCTTGGGAGGGATTGTGGTGGGGATGGGGAGGGTTTTTGGGGTTGGTTGGGAGCTGTGGAAAGGAACTGTCTGAGGAGGGGCGTGAGGGTTGGTTGTTGCCGGAGGAGGCGGGAGGGGAGGAGGGTTGGTCGAAGCATTGTGATGTTGTGGTGTTGTTGTTTCTGGTGAGGCACACTCGGGGAGGTGATTCGGGTGGGCGGGTTAAGCAAGGTCAACGGACCGGATTGTGGTGGTGGTGGTCGTCGCAAGTGGCTGTCGTACTGATGCTATCTCGAAGCTCTCTTCGCGACTGCTGCATCGAAAAATGGTCGGTGCTCGGCGGAACAAATGGCCGGCGGCCGCCAGCAACAGTTTGGAGGGAACACAGACATGGCGGGGGCATGTCAAAGCAAAAGCTTGAGGCGCACAGACCACATCTCTTCCCAATGCGGGTTGCCCACTGGAGGAGCATCGCACTTTGCAATTTTTGACCCCACCAAAGAGAGCGAAAGATACCCTCACTGAAAATTGGTCGGCTTTGTCAATTCGGCTCTTCTTTTCGCTCCCCCTGCCAGTACCCGACCACGTCCTCGTAGCCCCTCGATCGACCGACCGACCGAGACCTGCGATACGCCCCCCACCGACGGAATCGATTATTTTTCACGACTTCGTCACTCTCAACTCGGAGGATCTCATCACAATAACAACGACACCACAGCCCATCACCATCATGGCTTCCACCACCGCCAGCGGCGGGTCCGAGTACGACCTGCTCAACAAGCTCGCCCCCAACCTCGACCGCCACATGATCTTTCCCCTTCTCGAGTTCAGCGCCAGCCAGCTTGTTGACGAGGATGGACAGGTCAGGGATGAAGCCAAGGCGCGCCAGATCACACAGGCCAAGTTTGCGCTCACGAAGCGCACCAACATGACCGACTACGTCGCCAACCTGTACTGCGAGCTCGAAGGCCTCGACGAAGCCCCCGCCGAGTACACCGAGAGGAAAAAGCAGGTCTTCAGCCAGCTGGAGAAATACGAGCAACAGACCGCAAAGATCACAGAGCTCCTCGAGCGCGACGACGTTGTTAATGCCCTCCGAAGCGACAAGGTGGCCAACTTGGAGTTCTTGAAGCGGGAGCACGATGTAAGACTTGGTACTGTGCATATTGGAAAGGAAAGTTGTGGTGCTGACTAGAGTGGTTGGACAACAGGTCACCATCGACATGGTCAACGCCCTCTTCGACCTGGGCAACCTTCAGTATAGCTGCGGTAACTACGGTGATGCCACTGAGACCCTCTACCGCTTCCGCGTCCTTTCCACAGACAACGACAAGGTCGCCTACGCCACATGGGGTAGACTGGCTTGCGAGATCCTCACCATGAGCTGGGAGTCGGCGTTGGAGGAGGTTCAAAAGGTCCGCGAAGTTATCGACTCGAAGCTGTCGCAAAACCCCCTCGCCCAACTGCAACACCGGACTTCCCTCATCCACTGGGCTCTCTTCCCCCTCTTCAACTACGACAAGGCCCGTGAGCCCATCCTCGACCTCTTCTTCAACGCCGGATACATCAACACCATCCAGGCCAACTGCCCTTGGATCCTGCGCTACCTTGCCGTCGCTGTTATCACCAACCGCACCAAGGCTAAGAACATGGGGGTCCAGCAGAAGCAGATGAAGGACATTGTCCGCATCGTCAAGCAGGAGGCCTACGAGTACCAGGACCCCATTACCCGCTTTGTACACGCCCTGTGCATCGACTTCGATTTCGAGGAGGCCCAGCAACAGCTCGTCCTTGCTGAGGAGGTCCTCCGCGGCGACTTCTTCCTTCTTAACCATGCTGATGAGTTCGTCGACTCGGCCAGACATCTCATCTTTGAGAGCTACTGCAAGATCCACGCCCGTATTTCCCTTACCGACCTCAGCGCACGGTTGGGCCTCAACGCCGAGGCTGCCGAGAAGTGGATTGTCAACCTGATCCGCGACACCAGGTTGGACGCCAAGATTGACTACAAGGAGGGCACAGTCGTCATGAACCACCCACCGACCTCTGTCTACCAGCAGGTGATTGAGAAGACAAAGGGCGGTTTCTTCCGGACACAGGTTTTGACTTCCGCGGTTGGTGGCAGGTCATAAGGGAGAGGAGATGGTTGAGGATGTGCTTGCTGTAGAAGGAGATGCCGGGACCATGACATTTGCTATTGTTACCCCTTCACAAGAGAGAGAGAATGGGGGAACTTCTCTCATCATCCATCCGGAAAGCCGGAGAGAGAAGATGGGAGCTCCACGGGTTTGGCGGGTGCCGAGGCGGCGCGGCGTCAATCTAGACATTTCTGGGTGAGGAATAGGAGGAGACAAAGCAAAAATGGTTGATGTCTTTGCATTGCTCTCACGGTTTACCACAGTGGAATTGGAAGCGATGTAATATACCTCATTATCAGGCGTATTGACAAAAATGGCTTAATGGACTGTTTTGAATGAAGCTCTTCTGGTGTGTGGCCCTGTAACAAAAGCTCAAGGCTTGATGAGCAGCCCAGAAACGGTGTCATCTTTCTCATAGGAGCGAGCAAATGTCCAGGAGACAGACTTTCATGCCATCTCTGGGATATTTCGCTTCACTCCATCTGCCTCAGCCTTCCGTCAAGAAGAAGTGACATGACACCATTTCCCAGCGTCTCATTTCAGCACTTTCAACCGCCATAAAAACTGGCAGACCACCACTCGCCGGAGCCGGTCACATGAAGAGCGTTTGCCGCACTTGCTCACGCAGACCTGCATTTTCTTCTCGGCTCACTGTGCCAAGGCAGAGCCTGGTCTTCTCTACCGTACTTAGAAGAGTCTCGTGCCACGACGTGCTTCCCCTCTCTTCCTCTTCCTCCACCTTCATTGCCGGTTTCTCGGCGTCCTTGACTCTAGTCTTCCCAAGAGGCAAAAGGACTTCTAGAACATCATCGTCCCTTCAGACATCACAATGCCCCCTGAACGGCATTTCCGGGTTCAACTTTGGTACTGCGTAAGACCTTTTCCGTTCCAACCCTGCCCGTCGGGCGAATCTGCGGGTTTGACTTGGGGGTGATGCTAAAATAACCATAGCACCGATGCGGCGGAGGTCCTTATAACGAGCAAACACCTGTTTGTTTGGATCTTCACTGCCAGCATGTGGGGCCTTGCGAGCTGTGTATTGTTCAAAATGAATGGGTCCCTCGTTCCTGATCGTGAGGACTTGATGAAGGGCTTGTTTTGAGGAGGGCGTGTTGCTGGATTGTGTAGAGTGTTTGGAAAGATGTTTGTTGTGGTGTGAACGTGCGGGGACAGATCTCAGCTTTATGCATCACTGCATATTATTTGATGAGATGACCCTGTGAGATGTAGTCAGAAACTTGCGGATAGTTCCTCACTTGAAGAAATACACGATGATAGGCATCCAAGCATGCCACGTTTGGCTCTTCATGACAGTGGCTGCTGCTGCACAGCCATGCTTACCTACCTGCCTCACCGAATTGAGGCAAGCAGCGATCTTTCCGTGCAGCTTCCTGTTTCCATCCTTCTGCTCTGCTTTCCCCAACTTTCGGAAGGCACACTTTTCTCAACACTTGATCGATTCAAAAGCATTCTGCCTTCTGTCTTGCAGCCCAACCAGCCCTGTTTTGTCATGCCTCGCTCACAGATACGGAACGCGGTCAGGAGGTCAGTGAGAAAGGCCAAACCGGTACCTTCCGGTCGTCAAGGGGAGGGTGGTACGCCACCTGAGGAGGATAAGGGCGATGAAAACTACCAGTGTGGGGAGTATTGGTTTTGCGTACGTTTGTTTGTACAGGTTTTGCTGAGTGTATGCTAAGTTTGACTGGGGGTTTAGCACCGCTGTGGTGAGGGGCCGTATACGTTGTTTGAACGCGATTGTGAGAGCGGGGAGTGTGGGCATCATGCTCGGTGTTCGAAATGTCACGTTGAGTGGGGGTGTGCGTGAGTGTGGTGGGTGGTGGCTAATATGTGTGCCGTCGAGGTTGAAGAATTATCCCAAGTCTCAGTTTGCCGAAAACATAACATGTCGATTGAATGCAGGTACCAACTACAACTGGCCAAAGATCATATACTCTTCTCAAGTAAATATCTACCATGACGAATGGAAATCGCCCAAGGCAAATACTGAAACTTTGAGATGTGTTCTGCTGTTCTGAGGCAGAATTGGTAAACGGTATCTAGCAGTTTGGGGTGATCAGCTGATACTGAGCAAGTGGCTGTGGAAGACGCAGCTCTCGTGCCGCCCAACTCACTTCTCTTCCAATGGGAGTGCAAGAGATGCGATAGCAAATGGTGCGGAGATTCTCTGACCATCTCTTTTCGCGCTCAGGCTCTACTTTTTCATCCACATCACCGACGTCCAAAGTTCAACCTTTTCTCTCATTAGGAAGCCACGACAACGACCAGCGATGGCCGAAAGCCGACCTGTCACCCGGGATGAGTTCGAGATCGCGATTATGTGCGCCCTCCCGCTCGAAGCTGAAGCAGTGCTGTACCTTTTCGACGAGTTTTGGGATCGAGAGGGCGACCCCTACGGAAGATCACAACAAGACTCGAATGAATACAGGACAGGGAGAATTGGCCAAGATGATGTTTTCCTCGTTATTCTCGCTGGGATGGGCACTATAAACGCTGCCAATGCTGCCCGCGACCTCCTATCCAGCTATGTCAAAATCCGATTATGTCTTGTTGTGGGTATTTGCGGAGGTGTGCCATCACCCGAAGTTTCCGGACATGACGACGATATTCGATTGGGCGATGTTGTTATCTGATCATCAATAAATTTGTCTGAGCATCTAAAAAACAGCACGGTAAGCATGGAAGCGAAGTTGAGAAAACCATAATCGTCAGCAAGCGAATGTGACGATATGTATTCGCCAGCAGGCGAAGCCATAAAATACGTCATCACAAGCAGGCGAAGACATGATAAAAAGGGATCGTTAGCCAGCGAACCTAGCATAGTATCTCCATCCAAGCTTTGGTCTGGCAAATCTTTTAACTAGTGGCCCTCTTTGATCGAAAGATCTCCGACAGTAATTTCGTATCGATAGACTAGCGGATGATTTGGGGCTGGATAGAACATCCGTAATAGATAATCACGAGACTTTGATTCTTTCTAATCCGGAAGACGGTTTTCAGACGGTGGGGGACTATAGGTAAGCTTTCTAGGTAATTGTTAGGGTCTTGTTTTCTATCGAGCCCCTTCTTATCAACGGCAGACTGATAGCTGTCGGATTCAAAGCCACCCAAGCATATTAATTCTCTAATGCGCTGTCTCAATATTGCCAGTCAGTTCCAATCTCCCTCAAGTCCTCTATCAAAGCCGGCGGGTTATCCAGCCCGGCAAAGGTACCTCCAAAATCATGATCTGCCACGCTGTCAACATCTGATCTAGCATCAGCAGAACGGTTCCAAACACAAAGACTTACTTCGATACTCGGTAAGATTCCCAACCATTGCAATCACCTCCCGAGGCCAAAAAGCAGTGTTGTACTTGAAGAAGCTCACAAGAAGCGGCGCATCCGTCCTCGCCCGTCTCGGCACTCTTTCAAAGGCACCCGGATCTTGAGCGTAGATGTATATCGATGATCGAAATGTCCCCGTGAGGTAGTAGAGTGAAACACAACGCAACAATTCGTTTGTCGTTAATATGGATGGGGCTGTACCGGCTCTTGGGTCCGACCCTGTGAAGAATGTCAGTGATGTGCCAGCGGCCTGTGTCAGGGCTACCCTACAGTCAATGTACTTGTCGCCTATCCAGGCTAGTTGTCCTACAGGGTTGTCGTGTAGGGCCAAGCCAACTGTGTTGGGCTGTATGGCAGACGTGAGTTAGTTGTTGTAGAAGTCATCCAATAATGCAAGTTACCTTACTAACCTTGGTTGTCTGCATAACAAAATATCCCATACCATTGACACCCCATTCCACCGACCTTTGCAATTCGAATTGCTCCAGCGGCGAAAGAGAAATATTCCTCGCTGAAATCTCCTCAGGGGTAGTAGGATGAAAGAACATAAACACAAGATGGGCAGCTCTTGCTGTGGTGTTGAACTCATCGTACAAAGTAAACGAGATAGCCACGCCATGAGCAGTTCCGTGGACAGCGTAGGTTTCATAGCCAAGGACCTTCGTCATGAGCGTGTTGTACACACGTGCTGTGTCATCCAGTGTCCAATTTTGTGGCGGGGATGATGAGAATGCAAACCCGGGCAGTGAAGGGATGATGATGTCAAATGAGACATTTCTGCCGGTGGACGTTCTTGCTTGTTGGGTCAGATCTTTGATGATGGGTAGAAACTCTAGAAACGAGCCGGGCCAGCCATGGCATAGAAGCAATGGTATTGCGGTTGGGTCTTTGGACTTTTCGTGGATGAAGTGGATTTGGAGACCCTCAATTGTCACTGCGTAATGATGGAATCTTAAAAAAAAATAATGTGTCAGTCCATTGGGCTAGCTAGTTCTAGGAGACAGACATACTTGTTGATAGACGCTTGTTCTCGTTCCCAGTCAAAATCATGAAGCCATTCTTGCTTCAGTGCTTTGAGAGCGTCGAGATCAATCCCGAAGGAAGACCCAATCCCTGGATACTGCGGTTTCGCCGGAAGCTGTGTTGACCGGATGAGATCCAGCATGTGAGGAACATTCTTCGAAAGGTTTACCCGAAATGGTTTAACCTTGAAGGGAGCCGCAGGTGATGGGATCGTCAATGCCGGTGTAACAAGACCAAGCAGCGATGTCGTGAGGGTTACCAGTCTGAGCAGCATCATCTTGACGCTGTGGAACTTGTCTTTGCGCAAGCTGCATGAGAAAATGTCTTAGCTAAAGCAATGCAGCATTCTAATGTGACCCTTCTACCGTCTATCGCGTCTACCTATATCTCGGTGATTTCCAATTTTGGCCGTTTCCGCTGGTTGCCTGTGGTGTGTAACCAGCGGCTTATACGTCCTTATGCGGAGCCATTCACCTTTGATCGTCCGACCGCGAATTTCTCGCCCAACGTTACCCATGCGGCCACATAACTCAGAGTACGGAACGCTTTCGGATCAGCATGGTCGCCGAATCCCTTTTGCAGTGCATGCTCAACTGCGGCCCAGTTCACAAAGCCGAGGCCCTCAACTGCCTGTCTGGTCAGGAGGGTCTCAAACATGCGGTGCAAAGGACCCCCTTTAGGCCATTTGGTTGGTGCCAGGAAAGGGTGTTTTCTCCGTCGGTAAAGCTCATCAGTAATGAATGGCCTTACCGCCTCACGTAGAATCCATTTTTCAGTAAGACTGTGAAGACCAGAGCCGGCTGTCTTCCAAAGGGGACCCTGATTTTCTCCTTGCTTTGGCGTGGCTGTTTCGGCGGGATTGTACGATAGCTTAAGGCTGGGAGGAAGTCGGTTCACGTACTCGGCCAAGTGATGATCCAGGAAAGGGGTACGTGCCTCAACACTGTGTGCCATCTCTGTCCGGTCGCCCAGACACGACAAAAGGACATTGGCAAGACAGCTCTTATTCCACATGTACAGGGCAGTGTGCAGTGGGTGCCAGCGCCCTCGCATCTTGGCGCGAACAGAAGCTGGGTGTGATGTAATAAGCGTGGCCCGGCAGTCGAGGTCTTGGAACTTGGATTGGACCCAGGGTGCAAAGAGGCCCTGGGTGGGATGCCACGCCAGGATACTCTCAGCCATACCCCGGGCGTTCGCGTCGGAAAGCGAGGGGTGGTCGAGCCGGCCGTCGTACTGGTTAGCACCGATATTGCGCCAGATGGCTCTCATCTCGGCATCCGTGGTCTGTCTCATGGCCTCGCGAAGCTCGTTGTCAGAGCTGAGTGTCGTATCTGGCAGCGCGAGGTCTGGCTCGCAGAGAAACTCGGCAGGGAAGTAGGGATATCCAGCAAAATGCTCGTCGGCTCCTTCACCCGTGAGAACGACCTTGACACCATGATCTCGAGGTAGCGTAGACAAAGCAAACTTGGCCACAGTGTTGAGGTCGAAGTGGTGATGCTCGCAATGCCACACGGTGTCGGAAAAGTCGCTTGCCAGACGTGCCTCGTTGACATCGACTTTGATGGTTTCAACCCCAAGCCATTTTGCTGTTCTTTCTGCGATACTGGACTCGTCATAACCGGATTCTTCTGGGAATCGAACACTGAAGCAGGTGACTGGAGTGGTTGGTTCACGGTCTCCAATTTTTACATGCTCCGTCTTTGCCAGGTGGGTAACGATACCAGCGACAGCTGACGAGTCGATGCCACCAGACAGGTAAATGCCAACTGGGACATCAGCGCGCAGCCTAAGACGAATCGAATCGACCAGCCTTTCACGAACACCTTCGACCATCTCTTCAAGCGGCCTTGTCTCAACTTTGGTCTACCATGTGTTAGCACTATTCCCGCAAGAATGGCCAAGCGGCGATATCCTTGTTACTGACCTTATCTTCATACTCAGCGTCCCAGTATACTTGATCTTCGATCCCCTTCTCCTCTGTCACCTGAAGCCAATGCCCAGGAAGGACCTTGTGGACTCCCTTGAAGAGGGTCCTGTCGTCAAGCATCCACCCACCGCTGACGATAGCATCAACGTCCCACTCGGCCTTCCATCCCAGAGGCAAAAAAGCCTTGGCCTCTGAGGCGATCAAGAGTCGATCGTTCGACACAGTCCACACCAACGGCTTGATACCGAACCGATCGCGAGCAGCGATCACTCTTCTTTTCCCCTCACGACGATCATACAAGACGAATGCAAATTCTCCCCGCAAGTACTTGAAGAAATGAGGAGCGCCGTGGATCTTGTACAAGGCTACCACGAGTTCACTGTCGCTTTCTCCTCGAAATTGGTAGCCATGCTGCTCGCGACACTCCTCCCACAGTCTATCTTGGTCGTAGATCTCCCCGTTTACGACAGCATGGATGCTTCCATCATCACTGACAAGGGGTTGGGAGCCGCTGGGAGAAAGGTCGTTGATGGATAAGCGGCAGTGACCAAGGGCAATGCTGCTGTCTTGGCTGATCCAGACTCCGGCTTCATCTGGGCCACGATGATTCAGGATATCGATGGAGGACCGAAGTTGCTTTTCAATGGGACCAGCCGAGAACGTTGAGCCATTTGTCTGAGCTGAATTGTTTGCTGGAGGAGTTTGTTTGGCGACGGCAGGCTCTGAATCAAGCCTGCCTCGCGGGAGGGCAATGCTGGCTGTGATGCCGCACATCTTCAGACAAGGATGGTGGAAATCGTCAGGTATGATACCCTAGTTGGCTTTCGTGATGTATCAGTGTTTATGCTTTGTCGAAGTGTTGACTTTGGACAGCGAGAATGGCTTCTACAGCACCAGTGCATCAATCTAATCTGACCCAAAGATAACCTGGGCCTCTATTGATAACTTACATGGCTGTCGACTTACTAGTCGATGGTTAGTTTCCAGGTTCCTCATTTTAACTATCTCCGAATCAGTCAAGTTCGGCCCGGTGCCGTTTTTGGCCATGTAGCTGCTTCGCCCGCCGTTTTGATTCGCCACCACGTCAGTTTCACTACATCTGCCGCTGATCAACGGTAGACTGCATGCAGAAGAACTGTTTCACTCGACATCACCTTAGCAAAGTGACGATCACTAATTCTCTCTGCATCGCGAAAACACCACCACGATAGAGGCTACCGCCAAAGCTCCAGTCATGCAGCAGCAATTTCACCTCGGGACGCTCATTCAGGGGCATTGCCACGAGGTCGACATGTCCACGATGGAGACACTCGACGAGCTCAAAAGTGAATTGGGGAGGACTTTTGGATTTGTCGATGCAACGTGTGAGTCTTGCGGAATTACAGCAAGGGATAATGAGATGACTGCATGCTAATTAATGTTTCATTGCAGCGATCACCTTCTATAGCCCCACAATAGGAACGCTGACTTCTCTTGAAGAAGTCAAGTCTTGTGATGGCCCGGTGGAGCTACGAGGCTCCCAAGATTCATCGGTCCGCATTCCGCCCGGACCAAAGACGCTTCCCGTCGTCGGTAACCACTATGAGCTGTATCCCGACCCCCTTGGAAATTTCGACAGACTCTTTTCACGATATGGGCCCATGATCAAGACTGTAAACATGGGAACAACAACTTACCACACCAATGACCCAGAAATATCACGACACATTTTGCTCGAGGGAGAATTCTTCACCAAAGCAACATCCAACCCCTCGCACCCGTTGTACTACCTCAGCGAGCAGAATGCACTCTTCACCTGTGACACAGCATCCCCTGCCTTTGCCATCAGCCACAAATTTGTTCCACCCGCACTGTCACCCCGCGCCATAGCTCACCATGCACCACTCATCAGAGCAGCAGCGCGGGATATTTTCCCCGTCCTCGATGAGCTCTCCACCAAAGACCTTGCATTCAACGTCTATCAATACATGTTCAAAATGGGCGGCCAGGTTATTTGGCGTGTAGTAGCCGGGCAGGACCTGCAGCATTTCAAAGCGGTCAACACACCGCCGGCGTTACCAATCAGGCTGTTTGGGCAATATCTGCACCTCATGAAGAAAGTCTCGCTACGCCCCGCTTGGTACGGACGACTGCCGTTTGGGGATGCAGCCCGACTTCGTGCAGTGCGCGATGAACTTTGGGCGGAGATTGCCAGAGCCCTGAGGGAATGTGCTTCACCTGACGGGGAGACGCTGTCGCTATCAGATCCGACTGCGTCGTTGAAAGCGACATGTATTGCTGATTATCTCAGCCTGGTTAGAGACGACAAGGGCCAGGGACTACCTGAGGAGGTGCTTTTGGCCAACACTGTGGCGGTGCTGGGTGCTGGTTTCACTACCAGTGCCTCGCTACTGTCATGGAGTCTCTATGCGCTAGTAAAATATCCAGGCAATCAAGAGAGGCTCCTGCAAGAGCTAGTCGACCATGGGGCAGACAGCGAGAAGGACTGGACTTACGACCAGTTGCATGCCATGAAGTTTCTCGACTCCTTCATCAAAGAAACGCAACGGCTCCACAGTCCAAGTTTCCAGACAACGAGAAACGCAAAGAAGGATCTCATCTTGCCTGGTGGTTACTTCATCCCGGAGGGCTCCGTCGTCACGACGTGCTTTCCAAGCCTGCACAAGAATCCAGCTCACTGGGACAATCCATTGAAATTTGACCCAGACAGGTGGCTCGAGCAGGGGTTTGCTGCCCAGGCAGCTCGCAAGGGGCTTTACACACCCTTTGCTGCGGGTAAGAGAGGATGTGTGGGGTTTAATCTGGCACTGGCCGAGGTCAAGATGGTGTTGGCTGAATTGGTATACAACTACAAGTTTGAGGATGCGTCGCCGGAAGCTGTTGTTTATGACCCAGAGTTTCTGGTCACTCGGCCACTCAACTTCTATGCGAGTGCCACGAGGAGGACGGAATGGCCATCGAAGAGAGCTGAGTAATGAGGGTTTTATTTTTCTATCTTTCGAAGGGGCGTGTTTGCTTTCGTTGACTTCATGTTCATACTTGGTTTCTTTGTAATCATTGACATATTCGTCACACGAAGAGGGGCAGCCGCTACACTTGGGAAATATCATAGGTTAGCGAAGGCGTCAGAAAATGGAAGCTATTGTTTTTGAGTTCAAACAAATTATCTTGGAGATTTGCGTGTTGCTCTTCTCACCCACCAGCTCACCATTGTCCTTGGCACTGACCCCTGAGCTAGTTGAGGGGTTTGTTTACTTTCCCCCCTATCCACACCGACCCCTGAATGACTGCCCCACTTTTCCTCACACTCTTTTTCCTTGCCGGCGACGGCCGAATTCATCGGAATGTGGTGTGAAACTTTGGATCTGCTCGGGGAAGTGACAAATACAGATTCGGACCTTCGTTTCTTGTCCGCTTTTGGCACGCTCCGAGTGTGCAGGTGTTGCAATGCTGTGCGACAACCCAGCGTGGCTCAGAGCGACATCGCCGTACCTGTCAATAACCGCCTCAAGCAGTCCATTGCCCCGTGGATTCAGACCGCAAATGCCGTTGATACCTATGTAGTAAGCAAGCATATCATTTCCCTATTCTACCCTTCCAAGCCTAGGCGCTGCACAGCATATCGTCGATCCCCGCATTGCCAACATGGCACAAATCACCAGCGCACACCTCCAGACGCACAACACAGCCAAAGACCTCTGGGTGGCAGTTCATGGATACGGCAAGTCAAAATATCTCTTCTTTTTTCACCCTTACCTACCTACGGCTAACAAGAAGTGCAGTCTACGACCTGACCTCATTCGCAGCCGACCACCCTGGCGGCATTGACGTCCTTCTCGAATGCGCCGGCACTGACGCAAGCGAGCCGTACGACTACGCTGGGCATGGTGATGATGCGACAACGACGATGCAAAAGTTTAGGGTTGGGGAGCTCGCTGGGTATCGCCATGCCAAGAGCAAGACGAACACGGGTGGGGGGAGGCCTGTTGCAGAGTCTGCTGGTGGTAAGGGGTCGTCGTCGTGGATTGTGAAGGCCGCATCGGTGCTCAATTCCAGGATGATTTTGTCCTGTCTGATCGGTGGTGCTGCGTTGCTTGGGTTGAAATTACTTCAGCGAGCGCCTGTTGAAGGGGTGGATGGGCGATCGTTCAGTGGGGTGGAACCAGTGTATTCGTTCTTGGGGGGGTTGCTTGTCGCGACGGTGGTCTGTCTTGTTGGTGCTGGGTATGTCTACAATGAGTTTAATCGGACGCTGAAGCCGGAGAAGGAGGTGTTCGATTATCCAGCGCTCATTCCAAGGAGAAGAGACAAAAAGCTTGAAACATTGAGCACTTAGGCCAGCTTTGAGGTAAGGCTGTTTTAGATAGACATATACTGTACATAGAAATCATCAATTCTTCCTACAGCACTCCAATTTCTGTTTGTCACAAGTACCAAGCTGCACCACCTGCCACTCTGTCCAAGACATAACTATAACGCTGAACTTGGTCAACATCATCCCGATCAAATTTCCCATGCTGATGTGCATATGCCAACAATTACTAAACATCACTCGGACAATGACGTTTGCGCTTGGGTTATCTGCCATTCCAACTGAATCCGACCCGGCCCGTGCCAAAAGCGGCCAGCTTCCGAGCTCGAGTTACACCACCCGCTTGTCACTCTGAGACACACAACCCCTCCGTCATTTCTGCTGGAAAGAATAATAACAAGATCCTGATCTTACTTACGGCTGAGGTTTGCATCCCTCCAAATCCTCCTCACACACCACTCCGTCTTCCACCCAAAATTCCCACAAAATGTCCCACCTTCCGTGTTTTTGCTACAAAGGATTTGGCGAAGAGAAGCGCCAGGAGCTTTGGTACAGCCAGGCTGTGCGTATCGGAGACAAAATTGAGTGCTCTGGTCAAGGTACGATTGCTCAGATCTGGTCTACCCTCTTCACCAACTAATCAGCGACAAAACAGGCGGCTGGAACCCCGAAACAAGCGAAGTCCACAAAAGCTTGTCCGACGAGTTCGACCAGGCGTTCAAGAATGTCGATCTAGCCCTTCGCACCGCTGGCGGAAAAGGGTGGTGTCAGGTGTACAAAATCCGTGTGTATCTTACCATCATTGACGACGAAGCGGTTGAGGCGTTGGTTCGCAACTTGAGGACGTGGATGCCGGATCATCAGCCTATTATGACGGCGATTGGGGTGAATAAGTTGGGCTTGGAAGGGATGAGGATCGAGGTGGAGGCTGTTGCTCATGATCCCGAGGGGGCTGCGAAGCATGCTGCGGAGGAGGCAGCTGGTTCGCATTAGGAAAGGGACACGCAGGATGTGCCATCGATAGCATCAATTTACCTTGCATTGCATGTGGTATGTTGGTTGGTTTAGTCATAGCAGTGATCTCGGGCGGTGAGATTTTGGACCGAGATTTATTCCAATCAGGCGAATGGGGAGAAAGCCGTGGGACATGCGAGATCTCATCTTCCCGACGTCTTTGTGATCCATACGACGAGGGACGTCCCGTTAAGATTTTGCACAGCCACCTTGGGGTTCCCCCTTTTAGGCAAGTTTCATGTGCTTGACCGACGCTTCACGGCTTGGACACTCCACCATGTGTACCAGTTGGTCATAGGTAGCATCAACAAAATAGATGGTTCCAAATTTGTCAGCCCATGATAATGCCATCTTTGACATCTCCCATTTAATAAGCCGCCCCGATCTCCCTTGTTTCACAATTAACTTACTCAACCATCCACCTTCGACGCACCAACACCAAAATTCGGCGTCATGACCAACCCGTCAGCAGCACCAGTTTCAACCAAGTTCCTAAACGTCCTTGTCATCGGCGCAAATGGCTACCTTGGAACTGCCATTTGCAGCGCCTTTCTACGAACCAACGCTCCACCAACCTCCTTTCGAGTCCACGGCCTCATCCGCCGCGAATCAGCCGCCCACCAACTGGCAATGAACGAAGTCATCCCCATCATTGGCTCTCTCTCCGAACCCGACATGGTCCGCACGGCTGTCTTGTCCCACAGCCCTGTCTGGGACATAATCGTCACCTGCACCGAACCCTCCAGAGCCACCGAAGCAGCCCACTGGTCTGACCTCTTGGCGTTTATCCAGGACTTGGCCTCGGAGTCCGCCTCCCACGGGGTTCGCCCCTTCGTCCTCTGGTCGTCCGGCTGTAAAGACTACGGCACGACAGGATTACACGGTGAAAAGAGCCTCACGCCGCATTCGGAGGACTCACCGCTTCAGTCTCACCCCATCATCCGCGGCCGGATGGACGCCGCGTTGCGCGTTCTTGAGGTGGCCGGTGCCGAAGGATCCGACTTTACGGCTGCCGTGGTGAGGGCTACACCTGTCTTTGGATACAGCGGGAGCTACTACGGCGCTGCGTTCGATTATGCCGCGGCATTTGCTGGTGTCTTCGGGAAAGATGATATCAGGAGTCGAACCCTGGACTTCACGTCAGATGAGGGGACGATCATGCATGGAGTTCACGTTGATGACTGCGGTGAAGGGTACGTGGCCCTGGCGACGGCGGCTCTACCGGACGATGATCGTAGACGGAGAATCGCTGGCAAAGTCTTCAACATTTCTGGGAGGAGATATGAGACATTGCGCGAAGTAGGCGTCGCCTTAGCGCAGGAGTATGGATTCGGACACGGAGCGAGGTTCGGTCTAGCTCAAGACGAGCTGCCAGAAGCGGTTTCTGGGCATAATTGTGGACTCGTCTTTGGATGGAGCCAATGGGTGAGCAGTGAAAGGATTCGGAACCTGACCCATTGGTGTGACAAACGGTCGCTCTTCTCAGAGAATATCGGTGTCTATAGGCTGGCCTATGAAGCTGCTATTGAGGCTGGATTGGATGACGTGGAAAAAGTGAGAAGACGAATGGCTGGGAACTGGGGGGATGATCACAAGGCTGCGGAGTAGACCCTTGATCGTCAGACTGCATGTACACAGAGGCTTGACCTTTCATAGCTGGGTAGCCAGTCAGAGTGTATCGCTGAAATCTGTATTCAGTGCCGGGAACGGACGTACGCCGCTGCTGTACAAACCGCTGACTTTCGGCGGTATTATGGATCCAGGAATCTGGCACAGCTCAACCCGAAACAGACTATGCCATATCATAGTGAAGTTGCGAATAGCCTCGTGGTCGTGTGGCCGCTTGTGATGGTTGTGATGGGTTATCTGTGAGCCCAGAGACCGGGTGCTGCAGCATATCCGTATGGATAACCCAGTAAAATCCACATGCTCCGACTTAGAACAACCTTTGTGTGTTTTGGTTGTTCGAGGTCAACATATGCATCATGACTCTCTGACCGTGCCATATGCCTCCTTCAAAGAATGTAAGCCTCAAACTAGCGGTGACAAAGCTTCCGGGCGGTGTGCCATAACGTGTATGATAAGCGAGCGCCGCAGATAAGCGAGCGCCGCACTTTTCGACGCGACTTAACCCTCCACCTTTAACATTCCATTTCTGAACCAAAAACCATGTCTTCTACCTCTAACGAAGCTAGAGTAATTCTGGCCGCTAAAGCTATAAAAAACAATAAAAACCTAAGTAAACGAACCGCAACGAAGATCTATAAAGTAAACGATAAAACTATTCGTTGTCGATTTACCGGTATACTTATACGATATAATACTTTAATTAATTCGCGTAAATTTATAGATCTAAAAGAAAAAATAATTATTTAATATATAATTAAATTATCTATATATATATTTTATTCCCGGCTTTCGTATATAAAAAATATAATTAATCGATTATTATATAAATATAACACGCCTTCTATTAACGTACGATAGGTTTATAACTTTATTAAACGTTAGTTAGAACTTCGGACACGTTTTACGCGTAAATATAATTATTAAAAGGTTAAATATAAGGATTTAAAAGTTATTAGTAAGTAATTTATTTTTATATAAAATATTAAAATTAAATATAGTATTATAAATAATAATATTTATAATTTTAATAAAATTAAATCTATAATAAATATTATTATTATTATTATAATTATTATAATTTTTAATAACCGTAATAAAATTAAATAAGTTTAATTTAATAATCGTAAATAAATTATAATTATTTAAAGTATAAATATTTTAAATTTGTTAATGTGTGGGTACTACTAAGTGCCCTACTTACTGCCTTACAGATTGATATTACAGTGGGCAGTACTGCTATAAGCAGTAATGGAACTTCCCGGCTTGGATCCCTTTAGAATGTTCTTTACAAGGGACCCTTGAAGGCTTACAGGGCTACTGTGGCCTAAGGCTTAGTCAACAGGATACTGGAACCTTCTAAAGTAGCTACAGGCTTACGTAGTAAGTCGCTACAATGGCATGATTTACAGGGCACCTCTGCTGCCGAAGGTTCTATGGATTTCCGTGAGTCTACACTAGACCCACCTAAGCCCACCAAATACCCCAAAGTGGTATAGGGGCTTCCAGGGCCTACAGGACCCACAGTAGGCTTACGAAGGCCTATATATAGACCTCTCCTCTCTCCTGTAGAATAGTTTTCTTTCTTTCCTTAAGGGTAAAAGCTTAAGGCTAAGGCCAAAGGCCAAGGCCAAGGGTAATAAAGGTAATTCTTATTCCTTATACCTTACTGTATTATAGTGCTTTACTTTCCTTCGGCACTGCCGTCGTATCCTCCAGCTTCCGCTTGCGTACTGCTGTATTTTACAGTAACCCTGTATAGGTTCTATATTATAGGCCTATCAGGGCTTACTAGCTAATAGGTTATGAGCCCGGGCAACTACCTAGCCCGGAATCTAGCTTACTTGTGCGCTTCCAGTCGACGTACCTACAGCACTGTACTATAGGCTGTACGGCTTCTTACTAAGAAGCCTTTTCCAGTGGAATTAGCGCTGTACTATAGGCTTTACTACTGCTGTGATTATAACTCTGGCCAATACTTTTAGGCCAATTTACAGCACTGTACTATAGGCTGTATAGCTTTTTACTAAGAAGCTTCTTTAGTGGAATTAGTGCTGTACTATAGACTTTCTACTGTTGTGACTATAACCCTAGGCCAATACCTTTAGGCTAATCGTCGACTTATAGCACTGTACTATAGGCTGTACGGCTTCCGAGAAGCCTACTTATTAACCTATACGGTTATTTTTACTAAGTCCTCGCCTTTACTATGGCTAACTAGCCTATGGATTAAGACTAGTTAGGTGTTATAGAGGCTACTAGCCCTATGGTACAGGCCTTATAGGCCCGTATCGACACCATTGAGGATAGGCTTCGGTAGGTTATATTATTGCTTGAAGCTTAGGCTATTAAATAGCTAGTAGCTGTACCGGCTACCTATATTACCGAGCCTCCCGTGGCTCTAGCTGCTTTAGTACCTTTAGTATTTATTACAGAGCCTTTTATAGCGACCTTTAGCACACTTATTACAAAAGAGCTCGCTAAATAGTCTTTAAACCTCGCTAAATAACAGCGCTTTTCAGGACCCGATAACTACTAATAGTGGTACTAAGCTATTTCTATATAATTTAGGGCCTTTAGAATACTTAAATTTCTAGAAAATCCTAATTCGGTAAACGCCCGGCTTTCCGACCTATAGAAGGCAGCCCTGCTATTGACCCTCAGAAATACACTAAAGGAAGGCCCGTTATCCACTATAGCCTTCGAAACCGACTCCGTTGTGGCCTATAAGCGCCTTCGCTTACAGTACGCTCCGGCGCAGCTTACCCTCCGAGACGAGCTATATAAGGCCTACCACTACTTGCAGTTCGATAGGTCTATACCTATCGTGGATTTTAACGCCTAATTTAATACTTACGTAAGTAGGCTCGGGGCTTTAGGCGTTAAAATAGCCTAAATCGATTAACTAAACCACTATTTTAACGTACTGGAAAACTATTTTCCATAGTGGGCCGAGCGCTGTAAAGGCCTACTTCGGTAGGAGTAATGGCTCTACTATATAGAAGGCAAGCCTACTAGGCTAAGCCTTTTATATTTCTAGGAAAACCTTTTAGCCGAAACCCGTAATTCGGTTACTTTCACTGCTTACTAATTATAGGCCCTACAGGCTACCTATAAGCCTGTTAGTAGCGAAAAGAAGCCTAACTTTTAGGCTTCTTAAGCTTACCGGTCCTTACTAAATAAGGACCAAAAGCCCTATAAAAAATAGGGCAATAAGCAGTGGAAGAAAGGCTTGAAAAAGGACGACCGCTGTAACGACCGCTATAACGGCCGCAAAGACGGCCGTAAGGATAGTCGTAAAGACGACCGTAAGGACTAAAAGGACCTACCCGCTACCGAGGCCTTTACTATAG